ATTAACGATTATGTTGCAAGCTTCAGGATATTGTGATTTGTGCTCTAAAGCGACTTTATTCTTAACATATTGAGATGTCGTGGGAGAAGATTTACTACCAAAAATCATTACTTTCATACGTAAAACTTTAATTGCATCATTTGGGGATTTTCTGAACAAGAATCTTAGAGAATCACGATCTTCTTTCCTCATAAAAATTCTATGGAACATTTCTGAGATGTCTCCCTTAATCAAGAACTTCCCTTCTCTCATATTAAACAAAAGTTTTAAGCAATTCGTATAAAGATTGGGGCCAGATAGTAAAAAGTCATTTAATGACTTTCCTTCCACTTTAGTCGCGGCATCCCATATGAAACGTGTACGTTTTTCTTTTGGTTGGATGAAAAATGTAGGGAGATAAAAGGTTCTTTCAGGATATGAATAGACCTCTTTACGTGGAACTTCCTCAGCGTATTCTTTATTCAATAAATTCTCCACTTGTTCAATGCATTCATCATAACGTCCATTCTTCATACACTTATTCTCAACTATTAATAAACGTCTAAGAGCTACTTTATAAGAAGCTTCTGTGGGAAGTTTAATATCTTCCTTTTCCCAGAGAAGTGGAGCTTCATAATTAATTCCATTCTCACTTCTTTTGACGTGCTTATCAAGTATTTCGATTGCTAAAGTATCTTTATATGATGCGTTTTCGTTTTGTGAAGGTTTCTTATAATCAACACCCATTAGTTCTGTTTCTAAAGTATCATATTCATGCTCTTCAGTTTCTGATAGAGTTTTGTATTGTTTAAAAGAATGGAACGTATTATATTGAGAATGTGATGGGAATTTGTTCTTTTCCATTTCAAAGTTGTAAACCTGTTCTAATTGATGGATATTTCCGACCACATAATCACCTAAAGGAGATCTTATTCCATAAGGGATATTGCTAGTCCAACTTGGAGGCTTAAAAACTTCGACTTGATCGAAACACCATAGATTATCGATCCCAATAATGCCTGAAATCTTCTGATAATTAGTTAAATGCAGTGGCATCAAATGTGGATAATTTAAATACATCTCATGTGCATCAAATGGTTGATCTTCCATTTTTAGATCTTTCACAGTTCTCATGTAAAGGTCATATGCTTTAGAATCATTATTCATTCCACATACTTTAGATTTAATAATTCGAGATCCATAATCGACTCGATTTAGGTTTCCAGACCACAATAGTTTAAGTGGTTGCCAAGCACCTTTTATTTCTAATCTATCGGCTAACTCTTGTTCAATTATTGACACTGCACTACCTGTGTCTAAAAGAAATGCTGCATTTGTGTCAGTGCCTACGAATTTAACTACAATGATGCCTAATATACATGGAGAACATACTTCGTCGAATTTTGAATTGTCAGAATTTTGACTGTAAGCATTACAAGCTTTAATGTGGTTGTTTTTATAAGTAGCATGTGAATTTTGATCAACTGATATTCTTTCAGGCGGATTATTGATATAAAAGTTACTTTTCGGGATATCAATTACTAAAGGAGGTGCCGAAGGAGTTTGTTCACGTCTTTCAGGTAAATCTTCCTTAGTCTTACAATTGTAATTGCGTTTAAATGTTCGTTGAGGTATTCTTGAGTCAGGTCTTTTATAATTATTATTATTATTCTGTGGGCTATTATGTTCAGGTCTTCCTTTACGTTTATAGCAAAAGAGAATATGGTGTTTGAAGTTGCATCCTTCAATCTTACATGGATTCTTGTAAGAACAACCTTTATGCTTTGGAACTCCGCAAAACGTACATATATTTCGCTTTTTAGCTAACTCAGACACTTCTTTACCCGATAGTGACCATAATTTAGAACATGAGAATGCCGAATGGCTATTAGAATCATGATACCAGCATTGCGTATTACCAGAACGAGCAGATTCAATGTTATTGACTGAATTAGAAGAAGAATGCTGATAACTACGTCTGTATGGGATTTGTGGTTTGTTAAAGCTCTTAAAATTGTTTGATTCCCTCCATGGATCTACTTCTTCTGCTGCCATTTTTGAATTAAGAAAAGATATCTGTTCCGATAAATATTTGGAAAGATGTTTTAGTGAAATCTCTTTATCTTTATCGTCACGTTTGGCTTTTAACTTATGCCATCCATTCATCATATTACTGGGCATTATATTAGCTATATGAGAAATAACTCTATCGTCTATCATATGCTTCTTTTTACCATACTTCTTTACTACTTGATGATAATTCACTATCTTATTAATAAAGTCTATAAGCTTGCTACTTTCTGTATCAAACTTAAATTTCTTCATGCTAATAATATCTTTGGTTTCATTTTTTAAAAGATTCATAGATCTAGACACACGTTTATTAATAATCTTTAATGTTTCCCAAGCAGTTAAAGGATTGAATAGATTCATTCCACCAATATCAATTAATTCTTTTGCCTTAATAGAACTTTGGATTCTTAGAACGTTCTCAGAGCGTGAAAATAACTTTCTGGATTTCTTAAACATGTCAAAGAAAACTGTCCATTTACTGTCTACTGTGTCAACTACAGGAAGTCTTTCGTACTTTGATTTTAAGCTTTCTTTATGACTTAATTTAAAAAGACCTAATAACAATTCAGTTTTAGACAACCCATCATCATCATCATCCTCGTCATCGTCACTTGAATTACTCGACTCTGAAGAAGAAGAGCTTGTTGAATCATCGCGCTTTCTATTAGATTTCTTTTTCCTACGTTTTGAATAATCATCGCTACTGGATGATGATGAGGAAGAATCAGAAAAATCAGAAAAAGAGGAAGATGAAGAGGAAGAGATATATTTATTATGGGATGATTTTCTTTTTGATTTACTTTTCTTTAATCTTTTATCTCGATCACTTTTTTGTGTCGATTTCTTATTTTTATTTTTGGATTTGGTTTGGGAGTAAGACATGTCAGTATTCTGATCACGCTTCATATCGATACGTTGTTTCTTTTTTAAATTTTCTATACGAATCGCGTCTGCTAAGCAATTTTGGCAGTAAAACTTTCCATTCTTAACTGCTGCCTGTTCCATGTCCGGAATACATTCATAATGATAAGTAGTTCTACATTGACTGCAATGAATACCTTTGGTCTCATCAGTAAATCCAGTATCACAAACATCGCAATTAAAATTTTTAAACAGTTCTTTTGCGTTTACATTTTTAGCATGAGGATTAACAAATTCCTCTGTATTTGATTTTTCATCAACTAATAATATGCTTACATTATCGTCTTTATTAGCTTTATTTGAGTCATTTGAATTTTCATTGACATTAGAATTAATGGAAGTGTTTGGATCTACTGAATTTATTTGGATGTTCTCAAATGATTTAGTTAAAGTATCCATTAGCTCATCAACAGGTTTAGCAGGTGTGGAAGTAGATTTGGAAGTAGTAACAGATTTTCGTAAAGGAAAATGAATCTCTTCTAAATGATTAATACAATACCATTGTCTTGTTTTACTTAAATGATGTTCATTGAAGCAATTCATATGTGTCCAAACTGAACAAGGACCTACTGTACATTTTAATCTAGTCTCATTTTGTGAATCATAAGGCTTACCACAATCAAAACAGTTTCTCATGCTTTAAATGCTTAATATTTAATATTTTATATTTAATTTTCAATAATTCAGGTTAAATTTTATATTTTTGTTCAAATTATTCAATTTTCTTTATATCCGACAACAAATCATATATCTTTACTGTTTAATGCTCAATGGAGCTATTATGAACACTAATTTATATATATATAAATATCGTATATGTCCTTACTGGATCATAAACGAAAACACATGGTGCTATATTTCACATTTCTCAAATTTACACTCATTAAAAGTGTAATAATTAATCGTGTAGCACAAAAGAGGACTAAAAGTGTAATAATTAATCGTGTCGCACATTTATTCTTAAAATAGTTTTGGACATACCATTTCGTGATGTAATCCTTTAGATCCAACAGCAAATATTAAAACAACTTGAATTAATCTTGAAATTCTCTTCAATTTTATTTTGGAGTCAAAATCTTTCTTCTTTTCTCCTTCTTTCTTAGCGAACCTTTGCAGGATTATTACACCTAATTTATTTTATTTAAAAAGTTACAAAATGTTTAATTCAATTATTATTTTTCTTACTTTTAGTCCTCTTTTGTGCTACACGTTCTTCTTTTTTTTTTGATTAAATTCTTTTTTAGGGGTAGGAAAAAACTCCCAGTAAATTTCGAAAATTGATATGAATTTAAAAAGAACGTTTAATATTTCAAAATTAAGAAAAATGATGAAACTAATGAATTTGTATATGTTAAATAAAGAAAAATATGTATTTTTCTTTACAACACTTAATATAGAATAAACAGCAAGCACTTCAAAGCATAATCTATTTCCAATCAACAATCAATAAAATTTATGCCCATAAAGTACCATCAATGCTCCCATTAAGCACAACATTTTATTCGATAATTATGGATATAAAAATAATCGATAAAGCATGAAAAACTTGAGGAACAAAGTTCAATAATAGACAATAAATTGAGTAAAACTCAATTACTCTTCAACTACCCATAAAAAAAGTTTCTTTATTGCTGAGCAAAAACCCGAACAAAGTATGCATAAACTTACATTATAAAGATAAATGTTTGATTAAAATTTTATAGAGCCAGAATAAAAAGTTTTATTTCTTCATCATGCTGGATACTTTTGTGGGGAATCAAGAGATTTTTGTGGGTGGAAATGAGAATTTTGAAGAGAGAATTTTAAGGATTTTAGAGACATTTTGATATGTTTGAGTAGTTGTAGTCAATCCTAAGATTGAATAGAATTTTTAAGAATGGATTAAAGGTTGTTCATGGAAAGCTTTCATGATTAGTTGGGGTTTATAAGGATTGTTAACTTCTTACTCACGAAAAACTGTCTGAATTGACACTATCTCACTGCCATTGACATTCATCAATGATGAAAACATCAAAAAATAATAATAATTAAAACAATCTAATAAAAAGTCTTGAAATTGTTTTTGAATTCTTCAAAATCTTCCTTATCTCCATCTCAAAATTCACATTTCCACCTCACAACACACCTTAATAATTTGTCTGCATCAATACTCCATACCCCCTCAAAAAAAAAGTCTACCATTCAAGAGCGCCAGGAGCATATTTGTCAATCAATCCCTGATAGTATGGCCACAGAGCATCAACGTCTGGAATGACTGTTGATTTTGTGTACAAATCATAACGACTAAAAATAAAAGAAAATGAAAAAAATAATTTTCATCATTAAGCACAGCAATTAATCGAATTAGAAATTAATGAAATGAGAAACATTAAGTTAATTAAGTTGGAACAAATTGCTTAATATGAATAAAAAAGAATCATCAATTTAATGACAAATCGATAATTTTTGAGAATGGGAAAGAAGGAAGGACTCACTTAAATATCAGAACCCAATTTTTTGTTTCTTCGTCCTCGGGTTTCATTAAATGTTCATAGTCGCCAAATGTATGCCATGGATAGAATGAATGGAAGCGAATAATGTTCAATGCTTGTTTAGGAAGTTTGCTTTTGTTGTGCTTAAGGACATTATACAAGTACTCGTCATGTCCCCAGCTTAAAAGGAGATTATCCAAGCCTGTATTCGGCTCATACATTCCATATTTTGTATTATACTTTGGATTACTTCCGTCGGGATTTCCCTCAAAGCTTTCATTTCGGTAGACAATATTTTCCGTCCATTCACATCCAACGACAAATGTGTCTCCGACAACAGCCCATTGGGGCACATCTAGATACACAAAGCTAAGAATCAGTAAATCCTACATAAAAATTTTCTCATATTATTTACCATAAAAAGCCATAACTTTTCCCATATCATGAATCAATGCAGTCAAATGAAGCCAATCGTGTTGAGGATATTCCTTACGGGCTCGTTCGGCTGTTTGAAAGGCATGAATCATATTGGGAAAGTCAGCATCCGGATCACTCTCGTCTATCAAGTCATTAAGCTTCTCCAAAGCCTCACGCACAGTCATCTTCGCATGATTGAATTTAAGCCATTCATCACGACATTCTGAAAATTATTAATATTCAGGAACTGATTAAATTGTTAATTTGACTTTAAAATAATTGAACCTATAAAATATAGTCTGGATTTTATCAGTCTGAATATAAAATGTAATTGTCATTGTGGTTTGTTCCTTGTAAAATTTTCATCATGTGTACCGAGTACATACGATTTTCAAGGTCAGATTATTAAAAGAAATTAATCTACTTTTTGACGTCTATCATCATCAAACATAAATACACGATGAAGGTCCTCAATTCAAAAAAGTTCTTTAACTCACTTTTTACGTAGTCAACCGTTTGATTAAGATGCATCAAGCGATAAGTTCGTCTCACTCTCTCCTTTACTGGATCCTTATCATCAATTGTGTAATCACGAAACTCGGAAACATCTTTCTGGACAAAGTCAAGTTGACCACTGAAAACAAAAACATTTTCATATCAAAAATCAAATTCTTTCCTTTTTTGTACACAAAAATATTGCGTCTGGGTCAAGATTACTGATTTTTCTTTTTCTTTCATCCTGTCATGTTATTATCTTGACAGTTGTAGAACAAATTTCTTTGATGTTTTGATTATGCGACATTTCTTATTTTTTACGATGTGCTAAAATTCTAATTTAGTCGTGTTTCCTCTCACGCAGACTCTGAATTATGAAATTTTTGGGATTGTGTCGACATGACTTGCTGAATTGAGGATGATAAAGATTTATTTAAATTTATAGTATAAGATTTAAATATTTTTGGAATACAAACTAAAGGCACTCATGAATCTAGTCAATTTATGGTGTTTAATTTTTTGGTGATGAATTACAAGCTAAGAATTGCGACTTTATCAAAAAACATTTAGAAGATATTCAGGCTTTAAATAAAAAGGAGTCATTGTAAACGAAGTTGCGAAAAGGAAATGGAACTGAATTGGCTAAACATTAAGGAAAGACCATACAGACATCGCGAGACAAGCGATTTTCTGGAATGTCCATGGAAATAGGACTAGGGGCCGACGGAGAATTACTTGGCGTACAACTGTTGAACGGAAAGCAGAACAACAGAAAAAGAAGCTACAGAAAATAGCAGCTTTGGCCCAGAATCGAGTGCGATTCAAATGCTTTGTGGACGCCCTACGCTTCATAGTGGAGTAATAGGAACCCATCATCATCATCATCATCAAGAATTGGGATTCTATCAAAAAACATTTAGAAGATATTTAGGCTTTAATTAGACGGAGCCAAGTGGTTCGGATTTCACTTTAAACTTTAGGTCTCATTGTAAGTGTAGTTTGGGAATTGTCCAGGTAAATTTATATAAATTGAATCGCATTACCCACGATTTATCTTTAAGTGCGATGACAGAAGGAAGTTATTGTGTATTGGGAAGGTCTCTACCCCACGAGTTTTCTAATAACACGAATTAAAATTATTCTAAGCATTAATAAACAATTCTCTTATAATCGCCAACATATCATTAGGATTGACATAATATTTTACACTTAAGCCGCAGAACTAAGCCGTAGAACTATTTTTGAAAATGACACGAGCCGGAAGTTATGTGCAACTTCGTTCATGGCTTACCTCTAAGTTTCAACAACTGTTAAACACTTAAATCTTTTTCGATTTTTTATAAATCAAAGAATTTCACTCATTTAATAAGAATATAATAAATCTAACGCTTAACTTCTGTCAACAAAATTCTTGACTTACTTAATTTTAAAATCTGATATGTCCATATTTCTGCACGTTTTAAAAACTTCACTGACGAATTTCTTTTCAATAAATTTATTTATTTTTCCACGATCAATTCACATCGAGTTCAGCAGAGAGACTGAATAAATTTCAAGTCCGCAACTTGGTCCTTTAATGATTAATTTTCATTTTTATAAGAATTCATTCTTATGTGCTGTCTTACACATAAGTACTTAAAATAATAATAATAATAATAATAATAAAAAAATGTATGATTGTAGCAAAAATAAAAATATGAGCTTTCTGAGAACATTGTAGAAATAGACAGTAAAAGAGATAAAAGCTGTCAGTCAATTCACGCTTTTAAATTCATGACAGACAATTAATAAAGTTTAAGCTGAAAGAAATTAGTCAAGATAAGTGATTTAAATTGTATTTATGAGGAGGTCAAACGATAGTGATGATAATGCTGTAATTAGTTTATTAATTTGTAAGTCTCGTGATTAAATTTTTGAAGCATTGCTATTTTGTTATCTGTGAAGTTATTGAGACACTTTTGATGAAGGTTTTGTTATTCTTAAAACGAAAGATTTTAAATTTTTTGTGTATTTAAAGTTTTCTGAAGGTTAAGGAGTTATTCATAAATGATATTTTAGTTTTAGTATAGGTTAAGGAAGTGCATTGCTCTGTGTGACACTTACACTTACATGATAGCTTCTTTCATTAATGTAAATTCGATTTCGACAGACTTTCCGAAGTCTAGGTTTATTAAAATATGCACATTCAAATATTTCAAATTGTCAAAAACCGTTGACATTTTCAAAGGAACTTTCGAATGCATTAATAGGCATTTAATTTTGTTCTGATTAAATATCACTAATCAAGAAGTCAAATTAGTAAATTTACACGTAATCGTGAATTATTGAAGATTTTGACTTTTCAAACTTTTTTAAAAAGGGTTTTTGAATTTCGAATTTCGCATATCAGACAGACAAATAAGCAATTTTTGAAAGTTTACTAGAGAACTTTAACAGTCACAATTTTTGAATTTTTACTACCTATGAGATTAATTTTTCAATTTATTGAATCAGGTTCATTTTACTTTAAGAACCCACAAATTCTACCAAAAATTTCAACACATCCTAAAATAAAAAGAAACAAAAAATCAAGAATATAAAATAATGCAAAATTCATTCAAATCTTTTTCCATCTTGGAGCATCATAACAATAAACATAAACTTTAACATATAATAATATGAAAAACTATCTCTCATATATTGAATTTAACAGACGTCTATCTATTGTTCCCCATGGCATTCATCCTCATTTTCATAGACAATTTTTCTGTGTTGTTATTTTTGAATGAATTTTTTTTGGGTTTTTTCATGAGTGATAAAGTATCCTCATTATAAGAATAAATTTTTAATGAATATGACATTTCTCTACAGCAAAAATATAGACAATAAATGAAAGAGATAAAAAAGTTGAAAATTCAAATTTTGTGTGAATTTTAAATATTCTATTTTTGAATTTTAAATAGTTTCAAAAATTTTTATGATTATTATTGTGAAGTGGAGGGATTATTTTAGTTGAACATAAAATAAAGCCACACTCGAAGTGGACTCTTAAAATATTCAACAAATAACATTTTATGATAAATATTTTGTTCAACTATTGAAAAATATACTAATTGGAATCGATGCTTCAGCAAAGCCACATAATATCATTTACTAAAATTTTGTTGAAATTATTTTGCATTAAATTATTTTCTATTAAATTAAAATAAAACCTCTGTTATAGAATGAAGCCATCCCCATACATGATTTACAATTAAATGAAGCTTTTTGATGCAGTAAATTAATTTTTTGAAATTTTAATTAAGTTTATAAAAAGTTAAATTTTTTGTTTTCAAAAATAAATGGAGAATATATTTTAATTAAAAAATATGATAATGAGAAATGATGATATGTTGGTGGTTTAGAAATTAAATTGGATGGAATGTGGTCACTAGATAAGCAGGATGTGACTAAAGCTGGTGAGGTTAACATTTTATATCTCCATGCTGATTAGTAAAAGGAAATAAACAACTAAAGCTTAAAAACAGAGATAGTGAAATAAAATGCTCAATAATGAACAACAGTTACTGAATTTGGCTTTTAAGATGTGTAATTGAACCTTTTTGACTGTTCTTGACTTAGTCAAGTAAACCAAGTTAAGCTATAGTGTATTATAAATCCCTAGGAGTCCATAAAGTATCCGAAAATCACCTAAACTAAAATTCAAGAGATTTTCAAATCCACAACAGCATTAAATGTCTTAAAATAACACCAACTTACCAGAGTTGCGATACAGGTTGCCTGTCACAGGCACAGGTGACAGATTTGTCACAGATATTGTCTGTTAAAAGGCAGTGCCTGTGACAGGCAATTTGTTTTTGCCTGTCACACGCACAGACCATTCATATCTGTGGGCAAATTTAATGTTAGTGCTTGTGACTGGTGATTGCCTCTGACAGATCGCAACCCTGCAACTTCCTCATTTTAATCCAACAAATCATTTAATTCAATTCCTTTCTCTTGATCTCAAACATTGTTAATTCAATTCTATTTTAAATACTCAAAACTTTTTAACAACATCATGTTTCCATAACTTCCATAATCCCTCATTTTCATTTTATCATAAATTCCAGAATAAGGAATAACAAGGAAAATGCTGATCCTCTTAATTGAACGGATAAAAGCTCCATTTTAAACTTTTGTTAAATGAGAATTTCATAGCTCAAAATTTCTTTAACATAAAATTTTCCTCATTTAACAAAATTTTCCTCTAAATGGAATATTTTCATCAAAAAGAAAATGTAAAATGAATTTTCCTCATCAAAATGAAACAAAATTCTTAATTGCAGTTCCATTCAAAAAGAAATTTAATCACGACAATGTGATTTCTTGACTTTATAGAGATGCCATTGAAGGATTGAAGATGGAAAACTTTTTGAGCTGTAATTTGACATCGTTTGACTGCTTTTAAAAGTTCCTAAATGAAAAACTTTTGGGGGTTTTCCTTAAGAAGATTTTAATCTCATAAAATGTCATAATATAAATAGATTGACGGCAAAAGCTGGATCTGAATGACAATGAATTGGAATGGAAGGAATTAGCGCGATTTTATCTGTCGAATTTAAAGGGTTTGAATGTGAAACAAGGCTCTTCTTGAGTCTTAGCTGGAAGACGAGATTTTCTTGGAAGAAACCAAGCTACTAAAATCTACAAAAAGCGAAATTCTAGAAATTTCTTCAAAACTTGTTGAGAAAACCGCACTACAACTAAATTTCCATGTAAAATACAATTGGAAACAACAATCGTAATCTACCCATAGGCCGCATTACTCATTTTATTTCTTATCTATCTTTCCTCATCCATTCATTGTCATTGTGTTGCCTCAAGTACCATAAAAAGAGTCCTCTCACTCTGTTTTAGCCTCACTCATTCTCTATTTAAATGTTTGGAATTTAAATTCATATTTCCCTCTCGACTCCATTCCAATATGCTTTCACGACTCGACTGCTTGCCATTATGTTGTTGTTTGTGAATGTAAATTTATTCAACGGACAACTTTTCATGTTCATTCATTATTAGCTTTTTACTTCTATTCTTCTAAAGGAGTCGTTCGTAAATGACGTAGGGCAGGAATTAAGATTTTCAGACTCCATATTTTATTTTGATGTGGAATGTCACTTATCTTGAGCCCTAAAAATTGAACATCATTTCTGAATCATCCCATCCCCACCAACTGACTGCAGAGTAGACTCAACGATGAAGGAAGGAATGTCTAATTTGATTCTCTGTATTTTTATATTTCTTTATGATGACGATGACAATAAAGACTCGAATAGAATACGTTAAAAATGGAATAAACAGCTTTTATGATTTTGATCTGTGCTTTTCTTTTGTTTCATCCTCGACATCGTGTTTTTATTCTGTTGAGAAGCTCTCATTATTTCGATACTCGTAGTCGTTGAGTGATAAGCATAAAAAAAGTTTATTTTCATAATAGGATCATAGATGAATGGATGTTATAAGAGCGAAAAATATGGATGAAATTGAGATAGGGAAAGGAATCTGAAGGAGTAATAAAAATTTATTGTTAATGATGATTGGGAAAATCTTCTGTGTATGAAAGGAATTGCCATGATTTTACAGATCTTGAGATGAATATAAAATTGGAGAAATGAATACGAGATTAAGTGGATTTTGTGAGAGGTGGGAAAATGAGATAATTAATGATAATTCGAATGATTTTCGTTGTTGGAATCGATAATGGAGAGATATAGTAATTTTGGTATGGAAATCGATTTAGTGATGCTTAGTTGTAGTTCACTTTATACTCAGAAAATGTTTAAAGCTACTTAATCAGGTTCGTAGCCACGGTAGGAATTTGAGGGACAACTTCCTTTCGTCATCAGAAATTTCTTCATTTTGCTAGGGTCCCCCCTCCCTCAAACATTACATACAAAATATCCTTCTTCTCTTTAAATTCTTGGCTACGCCCCTGAGCTTTACTTACTTGTTTACTTCGATGACTTTACAGATCAATTGTGATCCATGGCTTTTCTCAGATGCCGCCTAAAACTGGCTCTATCACTGGCTACCGCTTGACAATTTCCTATACCAAATACTGTACTATCTTTTTTATATGAGTTTTTGGTCTTCCACGTGCTCTTTTTCCATCCACAAAGTCCGGCTTAAAGACCTTACTTAATGAAGCTTCCACAGGTCTCCTTTTAACATGTTCAGCCCATGGGAGCCTGATGTTTTTAATACGTTTAATGATATCTGCTTCTGTAAAGAGCTGATACAACTCTGCATTGCTAATGCACTTATAAAAATTTCCTTCAATCTTTGATCCAAACATGCCTCTGAGCTTAATAATGTTTATTTTCGTTAAAGTAGGTTTTGACGCTATTAGTTTGCAATATTAAAACAGGAACACTGAATTTCTTGTTCATTAAACGTTAATGCACCCCTAGGATAAGTACAAATTTGTTTAAAATTTAACATTTTCTAATCATGTCATAAAAACTGAAACTTCAAAGCATCAAAAACCCCATTAAAATAACTTCTGATTAT